GTCACTCTGACGTCATTTCCGGCCAACCTATCTTAGCCTTTGGAAAAATTTTTGGTCACAATGTGTAAAATTGATGTCCGGAAGGGTACTGAGAGTTTGGTGACGATCGGCGGAGCGGTTCTGGAGATATATCGAAAAGTCTGGAGGGGGGGGGGGGGGCAAAAAATAGCCCCCCACCAGGTCGCGGGTTAAAGGGACAGTATCACCATTTTGATGAAATTTGACATTGCATAGGCCCCACCTTTCTGGTCCGGGAACTGAAGACCGATCCTCGAAGCTCCACACCGTTATCCCGCTATCGCCGCTCAAAGTACGAAAGGTGTACTACACTTTGAATCGTGCTTCACTATCTTCACTGTTTAAATGTTTGCGCCGTTTTGAATTGACCGCCAGTAATAAAACTTTTACCCTGGTCATTTCATCAAATTTTATAAAGCCAAAACGTTTTTCGCACTTATTCATCACCGTTAAATTCATTAAATAGTCGTAGACAATTTCCGCTGTTACCTTCGGATTCTAGCGGCTCAACAAAGGAATTCCTCCAGCTTGAATCACAATCTCCCTCCAATGTATGACGTATATGTATGACGTCATCTGATCTGCTAAAAGTACTTCACATTTGCTTCAAGTACGAGAATATTGTCACGTGATATCTTCTGGGCAATACCTAATGCTGCCTTTTCCTAACGGCAACTCAATCAGAGGAGCGGCCGCGTAAGCGTAGCGTCAATAATGTATTATCTGCGCCAGTTCTGTAGTAACTTCGCAGGCTTCCAAAGTGGCGGCCATGCTTGTAGTGGTGGTTCGCTCATGAAAATTACTCGCTCATGAAAAAATATTTTTCACCGAGTTCGGTCCTCAAACTATGCTTTTCTGATTCAGAAAAATAAGAAATGCTAGTAAAAAAAAAATCAGCTCCATACATTGATTTTTTTTCGATGATACTGTCCCTTTAATCGCCGTCACCATTGTTTGGCTTTTCTCGCCAATCCCGACGAAGAGAGGTGCAAAGTTACAATTTTTTGCACCTTCGACTGCAATTTGTGTTGCTACCTTTATGTCAGCTTTCATTTGCATGACTACTTTAAGCTTTATTGCGTGATTTTGATGATGCTTATGTAGGTAATTTTTCTCTTGGACAATTTGGGCGACGTTCGAAAACTGCCTTGGCACATGTGTTCAATAGCCACTGTCTGTTCCCAATAAACCTTCGAAAATTGCAGTAGAAATTAGCAGTACTCAAAACTGAACATCTATGCCTAATTCTTACTCAAATCTTTGCTTTCAGTCGAATGAGCCAGGCATGTTTCGAAGCATCACAGCATCACATGTTTCGAAGCATCAAGCTCAAGTTTCCTTGGTCACGTTTCCGATTCGGTTCGATTCAATACTACTTTCAACGGCTGTCGAATATGGATGTCCGCTTTGTAATTGGCGCTACAACCGGATTAACCTTGAGAACACCAGCTCGCCACTGTTTTGTTCAATTCCAGGCGCGTTGGGATAGGAAGCAATACCAATCCCATGAGCCGTGCGATTCCGTGTTTCGGCTTAATCGTTGATCGCTACTTGTTCGTACGCTCCTTACACGCCGTAATAAGATTTATCATCGCCGCATGCCCCGCTCACTTAGCATGTACGACACGCAACCACTGTACGGTATAATCGTTCACTTTCCCTGACATGCACCCAGCTGTTTGCCTAAGCTCCGGTCCAACCTTTTTCTGAGGCGCATTCTTGTCGCGCCAGTGTCTGTGGCCTGCTCGTCGTCCGGCTATCAGTATGATCGGTCTGTCAGCCGGATATGGCCGCTGACCGTGGCCGTGTGTTCCTCAGGTGATGTGCCGCGATCTGTGCACTCTGTCGCGTGATCACACACTGCTCGAGCTGTCAAAAAAGCTGCAGCTCCACGGCTGTGCGCTGATTGTGCACAGCCAGCGGCGTGGTGAGTACCGGCCTCGTCACCTCCCAACATGGCGCGCGCGCCGCGGCGAACGGCAGCGGGCGACTAACGGGCAGGGCTGAACTCGAGTTCATGGTACTTGTTGTCAGGCCGACAAAGGTATCAGACGCGCCAATCAGTGTGGAATGTTGTCCATGTGGCCTTGGCTTTACCAAACGGGACTTTTCAGAGGTGTGCATCCTTTTCGAGTGGCATTTTGGATGGACTCTGTGACTTTGCCAGACTTTTCGTTTCCCCACGTTGCAATTACGCTGTAACTACCAAAAGGAGGATGTGGATTTTTACAGTTTCGCTAGGATTGCCAGCTCATTGAAGACCAAATATAGAACCGTTTGAAGCATCAGTAAAAAGACTGGGGTGTTAATTATAGCTTTTGAAAAAAGACATGTTGACATTGTCTTTTTAACAGGTTAACTAAGGAAACTAGATACTGATTTCATTTTTAATTGTACTTTGCATTGCAACAACACAAGCCTTATTAACTTCGTCTTTATCGCCATGCTTTTCATTTTGTCTTTAATGAATCACGAAACGTGCGATACGCCTCCAGTATTATGATTAAATATTTAAACGTCCCTTTTCTGAAAATGGTCGGCAAACAATGTCCAGATACCTATCTGCCAGTACACTTTAGCACAGCCGTGGTTCAATGCTGCAATGGAATGACTATGACATTATATTGTGCCTTATTACACATTGTGTATCGCGTCTTGACTACAAATATGCATGACTGACAAGAACCGTTCTTTTTCAGTGACGGAGCAGGGGAAGGTAGCAAATAAGATGGTCGTGATTGGTTTGGTGACCCCGACCGACCTACTGGGGTACATCGTAAGGACCAGCCTATCGGTGTAGTGACCTGACCTGTGACCCGACCTGTGACCTCGACCGAATCGACTGGAAGAACAGAAGTTTTTACCGTCATGGACATCGGAAAGTCATTTCGATCGCTGCCGGCTGCATAATTCAGTGTTTTAAACTGATGTATTTGTGACTTGATCATGTTGAGTAATAATAATATGGCAACATAAGCTACGAGACTTCTTGCTGTTGGAACATTTATGAGAAGTGCGCAAGAAAAGGATAAGTCGAGAAACAGCCCTCAGCTATATGATATGGTCATTGAAGCGTCATATTCCGAACGTGAATTGGCTGGTATGATAGTGTCAACACTTATACGACCCGAATAGGAACCACAGTTCTTTTGGAATTATTTCCATTCACTCCGCAACGTTGCCTGTTGCGTGGCGCTCTAATATACGAGCAAACTGCTTCCGAAGAGGGGACTGTCAACTCATAAATGAGCGTTTGGTCACTTTGTGGTCCACGGCAACCACAGGCGCGGCAAGGTCAATAATTATTTAACTGCCCCCAGTTTTATGGTTTTGTTAGATTTGGGAGACAACATTAATCCTGACCCAGCCAAGTGCCCGGGCCAATTACCCCCGACCTCTAACAGATGCTCTGAAAAGCTATCGAAAAAGTTGTTCATTTTTATAGATCATATCATGTAAACAAATATCAAACAATATGTATATGAGGCAGAGCTGGGTTTCAGTTACCACCTCAACCCGTGGTCCTTATTTGTTTTCACAGAGTGATCTCCGTAGCTCCAGTGTAGATGTTCCATCCGATAAGCGTGCCCGTCTCATCCCGGCGAGGACTGGGCGACATTCTAGGAAATCCACGTCACCCCCCCCCCCCTCCGTGCGCGGAGGGCGGTGCGGGTATTTGGGACAGGGCAGGATGGCGGGGACGGGTGTACCGACCGTCCCCCACAGGAGGAGCCAGGGGCGGGCCGGATGACCCTGAGCGTCGTCACCGACACCCTATCCATCGGCCACAGACATCCTTTGCGAACTGGCACGGCCAGAACTGACCAGGATTTGGCTCAAAGCAATCGCAATGCTTGCAGTGTCAATATGGTGTTAACAATGTACTGACGTTCTGGAATTTCAGCTTTTTATGGTAGATCTATTACAAAGCACTCTTCATTTAAATGCAAACATTACACGGTCAATGATGCGAGATCGAGTCATTGAAGGTTCATACCTAAGCCGTTGGTAAGATTGTCAGTCTGAAACAGTACTAATTAACTGAACGACGTTTGTCCCCTACTATCTGTGGAGACGAGATCTGATCACTGATTTCTCGACGATTTTCTGGTCAGCAGGCACAGCAGCCGCATATCTAACAAATTGGCAGAAGTTCAGAACGTGGAATCGCCGCCCAAAGTTGGGGATCATTTCCAGGCCGGCATGCCGCAAAAAACGCGGCATATGGCCTTCTACTGGGTTTGAACTCAATTTAATCATGTCCGTGAGTTACGTCAGCTTTTCGTCCTGAAAATCATTAATTGGAATCGTTTTTATATCCCATTATGGAGGTGGTTCCTGGAAGGAATGATAACCAGTTCTATAAGTGATTCCAGGCATGATGGTTTGGTCAGAATCTTTTGAATCAAACGCACCGATATATGAATTTGAAAATCGGAATTTAACAGATAGCACCGAAATCAGTGTTTGTGTCAGTCGTGCTTAGGACACGTGAGCTCAGCATATCCAGTAAACACATGGATTCCAAAGTTTTGCATCACAATCAATAGACAAATATTGGAAATAGTGGAAACGCTATTGAGACAATAAGATGCAGCCATGACAGAATGATGCACCTGTCTCGGAGGTCACTTAGTTTACACGTTTCCACTAGAAGCGGGTGAAAACTAAACCATTTCATAATAATGAAATATTTCGTAATGCATATAAAACGATATAGTTTCATATGTTCATTGAAAGGAAAAACGCTAAATGATAAATAAACCAATGATATGCAACCCAGTGTAATAAAGAAATAAGGTGCACTGGTCGGCTCTGAACAGGATGAGTAATACACCATGCTACTCGAAACTTTTGGAGGTAGAAATTTTATAAGAATCGTGTATTTGACAGTAAATGTGACATACAAATGCATTTAAATAATAAAAATAAAATATTGCTGTGACACACAGATTAAGCGATCACACCTGAGCCATGCGACACAAAACACCACTGACGATACAACTAGCAGATACTGTGAAGATGGCAGTAGGCACCGTGCACACAATGATAAAACCGGCTAAAATGTCTACTTGTTTCCATAGCTCTGCTTCCTCGAATAGCCAGGCGTTCGCTTGCTACCGATCGGACGGTAGGCATAGACAGGAACGTAGCCGTATCGGGGTGTTTTCGAAAGACGACCGGCAAATCCACTGACTTCATTAGGGTCTGCTTCGCCAGCTTCGTCCTCAGAGTCATCCTCAGAGTCATCATCAGAGTCTTCATCAGAGCTATCAGCCGAGTCATCACCCGACTCATCGGAGTCCGAGTCCGAGTCATCATCAGAGTCTGACTCGCCATCGGAGTCACTGATCTGTTCACCGTAGTGGGATGGGGGAGGGTACTTTGCCTCGCCCTCGAACGTCACCTCGGCTTTAAAGCCATCCTGGTGATCTGCCAGGTACCGCACCGTCTGTACGCGTCCGTCCGGCAGCGCCACGCGGTAGGTGCCCTCCTGGTCACCCTCCTCGTTGCCCCTCTGCTCCTGCTGGAAGTGGGTGGCGCCGTGGCTCACGCCGTAGGCGAAGCTGTGGGTTTTGTAGCGCTCGGCGTTGTCCCTCGGTCGGACGTGCAGCGCTCGGGTGCCGGCAGAGACGACAGTGAAGAGACAGGCGACGACCAGCAACACAACCAGCAGCAGGAACGGCTGTGGGACACACCGCGGGCGGCAGTGAGGCGTGGATAAATACTACCTCTTGTCACACTTTATGATAAACAACGCGCAGCCCCAACGGATAAATGGTTTGTATTTTGTTAGGCTCGAGTGGTGATAGCCTGATCGTATTTGAACGATTTTTCAGCATTCTTATTGTAAAACTAGATAAACACTCATGTTTGTGATGCAGTTTCATCAAAAAATATTATTTTAATTCCATAAATAAATGCGCAATTGCACTCAATTACGATCTCTAAAATTATTTTATTATAGATATGGAGTGATATTGCAAAGAAGGCACAGAATTGTCCTACCTTCATGTTTCTCAGTTGGTGTATCCCCTCCGCAGTCCGATGTATACTGCCACCATGCTCTATCAGAGTTCTCTATAAGTACCCTCCGGCTGGTCTCGGAGAGCCTTGGCCAAACACCGGGATGCAGTCTGTCCTGCCGACGGCCGGGGGCGGGTGGGGTAGCACAGCGCGCTGATTAAAATCGGGGAAGTTACATCAGCCGTCATTACTCTGTCTGAGACAGAGGGTCACTCCATCTGGCGACCGTCAGCCGACCCTCTGCCAAGGACTGCTCCCATTGTTCCCGAGATTCCCATGCGGTCCGACTGTTCATTATGCTGATTCAATGAATTGTAAACTAATCGATCTAAATACGTCCACGATAGTGATACAATTGTCTTTCGTGAAATTGAAGGCAGAGGTTGTATGTGTAGTAACTGCTAGCTACGTAATAATAATGTGAAGCTGTAAATGTGCCTGAATCATGGTGACATTTATGCAACAAGTGTAAATACTAAATAGTAAACATTGAATTTTTAAACGATATCTTTTATTATGCGTCCACGCTTGAACACAACTAGAGATGTCAGTCGGATACCAGCTTTATGCTGATACCGAGTTGGCATTTGGTATTTCAATCCTAATTTGTTTGGTATTTTGTTGCTATTGCTACCTCACTAACGTGTAAGAGGCTGTGACATTGGCAAAAAGTTGGTATTTCCCTCATATTCCCAAGTTGGTTCGATTTCGGTAGGGTAGTGTGGGGTAATTTGAACATATTTTTACGTCTTCTCCGTTGTACCAAATTCCAGTTCAACCCTGGATGAAGAAAAACTGCTTCAGTAGCGCAAGTGTCACTTGCTTTCACCATGCAAGCCTCATTTTTGGACGAGCCGAGCATACCTTGAATAGCATAGCCTCACTTCTCCACCAAGTCACGGTGTGTTCAAATTGCCCCACCGTGGGGTAATTTGAACATACTGCCTTTACCTGTCATAAAAACGATAGTCTCGCCAGCACCGATGTTGTTTGACCCTTAAACAAATAGGCAGAACAATTCTAAACATACCTTTACTTGAAAAATCAACACAACAGCAAAAATAACAGTTGCAGAGCATCAATATCTGCACGCTGCACACCGGTCAGTTGACAGAATTCGCCCCTCTTCAATTAACAGAACGTCTATCATTTTTGTTCGATAAAAACTCTCCCAACCGTACTACATCTGTTAAAGTGATGCCAATCGAAACCTGGACATTTGGAGTTCTAATTTTGTCTAATGTCCAAATCGGAATTGGTTGGACAAAGGTAGCAGACTGGACAACATTGGACGATGGCTTGCTACACTTCAGCGCTTTTTATAAAGTAATCGTGCATAGCATTGATTGGCGAATGGAAAGCTTGTTAAGCTCTCAATATATTGAACACTTTTTGGCTGGTAAAATTACATGATAAGCAACATAAATGACAGTTTTGAGTGTTGATAGCTGCATTATTTTCGGACATATTTGGACAAATAGTTGACTTTAACATTTTTGGACGGAAAATCAACAAAAATGCTGGACATTAGACGGATATTAGACGTAAATTTTCTAAAACTGGCATCATTTATCTGCTACTGCCTTGGGTCGAAAATATTGGCAAAAAAAAAAAATGGGAGCGTTGTTTTTCGGAGCTATCCCTGTCTTCATTCAAATTCTCACACTATGTTCAAATTACCCCACGCTAAAAGTTATTTAGCCATTTTAAAAAACAGCGCTCAAAAGCAAATTTCTTGGATTGAAGGCACTGATTAGGTCATTATACAACAAAAGCCGTTGCGTATTAGGCGCTAGCAATGCAAGATTTTGCGCTGCAATGAAGTTGCAATGACGTGTTGTTAGGCGTTTTTCCTTGCGAAATTGATTTTTACACTGTGCGTCAACATCTTCATTCCCGGAAACTTTAAACCCCGTTCATATGATAGCCCTTTTTGTTACGATTATTTCTCTCACCGGTCTTATTGTCATGCCACTTATGGATTTTCCGTAATTTTCTGTTATTCACACTATGTTCAAATTGCCCCACATGTTCAAATTACCCCACCCTACCCTATTTCCCATGGTTTTGGTTGGTATTTGGTTTGGCTTCGGTAATTCGAATTATGTAACTGACATCACTAAACAGTAAAAGCAAACGCCCTTTGCAATTAAATCGAATACCTGGAATCACCTCTCCGCATTTTTTTGCATTCAAATACAAGAACTGTTGCAAGCATCAATGCATCAGAAAATACCACATGCATACTACGCCTAGCACATCAAGACACTGTTGTAAAACAATGCTACGTGACTGCAAAACTCAGAAATTTCTAAAAGCTTCAAGCACCAAGATGGTTTTTGAGTTATCTACGAAAAATATGAGAAGGCGTAATCCTTCCCGTCCTGCGAATTGTAACTCTTAATTCACTAACTGCTTCAGCTTTTCACACATAACTTCACGTAAGGGCATAACTATATGACCGGCGTAGCGCCGGCGCCATAGTCTCCCCAGACAGAGCTATAGGCTCAGGAAGGTCAACGCCAGTCCGGTGATAAATTTCCCAGAATTGGGTTACCTCCCGGCCGCTCTAGGAAGTGCATCTTGTCCGGTGTCCGTAACCTTGAGACATGACCCACGGGAGGAGGATTGGGGACAATGGAAGGCGCGGCTTGGGGGTGTGTCCCTCCGTCTACGAGTTTTGATTAACTTATGATATTGTCCTTCGACTGATTTGGTGATAATGCCATCATGTCACAGCGCATATGCGCACAATTAGAGAAGTCTTAAAGGTGAGGCTTATCCCAGTCAGCCATCTCAAATGGGGCTCACATGGGCTAGAAGTGGAGAATCTTGGCTAGTGAATTTACAGGCTCTTAGAGAATGAGAGTAAGGATAAACCTAACAGTATAGACTGAATGATAAACCTACACGGATGCATATTTCAACAACGTATGCGCCCAAAACATCTCACAGTAGTCCGAATAGTCACTTCAAGGAAGCATTCTAGCCATTTCACCCCATTATCAAGTCATTAATTAATCATCCAATTATCTCTAGAAATTATCTCTGGACAAGACACAAAGGATTTAGGTAGCATCCAATTCGGCTCATCCTCAGGACCATTTCCATTCTTCACTTCCTTACTCCATGCTGCAAATTAACTCGTTAAACGCCCCCAGTCGATATCTCGAGAGCCGATGGGTGCAGCGCAACGCGCTAGGCAGCAAACGAAAGAACGTGGCGAGACGCTTCGAATGAGTGCTTGAAAGTTGAGTTTTGAGGTCACAACTCGGGTTCAGGACTGGTCAAACACCTGAAATTGGGCTTTCAGTGCCATAGACTTCAGCACCTCGCACTGGGCGTCTCTCGTCATAAACTCTGTCAAGATTGTGCAAAATGGCCTTCATATAAGTGCTACATTTGCGTTAGATCCATGTAAGGGTCAATGAAGTCAGGGTCAAGGTCAGGTCAATCCGGAAAGAAGATATCCCTGAAAATCAAAATTAACATTTGCAGCATATAGCATATTTTAATGGGTACTTTTAGGCGTTTAGCACGATGATGACATTCATGTAATATACGAGTACCTGTTTCGTCGAACTAAAAGGTCAATTAAAGAAAAGCATGCATGATGTTCGTGAAGTAGTCCCAAGAAATAGCCATGATTCAGTTCAAGGTTTTGTAAAATGTAGAACTATAATCAAAAATCGAATATAGCTACTTTGTTGCTCATGGTATTGCTCACGGTACCTATTGGTCATACACTCGTTGGATGTCTGACCGAATCCAACATATAATCAAGCGATGTCTGCAACTTCAACAATTCGAAGGAAGCACCTGAGTGTATGTAAGAAAGCTACAAAAGCCAAGGCGGCACAAAACAGAGGCATATGGCGAATAGGACCCACCTGTAAATAATGTTGGCTGGGTAATGTGTAGCTCCAAACTCTGACAATATTACCATCCCGGAGACTCACGCACACGACCCTACAGCGACCTGTGCCAGCCAGGGAATCAGAATACATTCAGCGAGCGTGACCCGGGCGGTGCCGGCCTCAGGCGTGTTACGGGTCACCGGTGCAGAAGCGGAGTCAGGTGGCAGGCATTGGGAGGTGCGTCAGCAGACACAGCCATCGCGATATGATCTTGTAACCGATATCGAAAATGAGCCGGCTGGTTAGCAAGACAAGATAGTTCAACATATAGTTGGTAAATTTTAGATATTTCTACATGCCTATCGTTCTTCAGATTCATGAGAGATATTTAACTTTCGGGGCTGCATGCTTCTGTAAAGGTGATTCAGATTGACATGCAGTAATTGACAGTTTTGGAGTCCATAAACCTTCGTCGTTTTCAATGTCCACGAGCCTTCATCACTCACTGAGCTGTGAGGCTTGACTGTCCGAACCACCCATAAAAAATATAGTTAATACCCTGACTCCTATGGTGACCTGTCGGTCGGGACTCGGGGCCGGCTTTGTGCTAGAGGGCCGACCTCTCGCTCTCACGGGTTACGGACAAAAGTACGTATCGCTAAAGTACGTAGGACAAAAGTACGTAAGCAAAAGTACGTAGGATTAAAGTACGTATCGCAGAGGTACGTACAGTATAAAGTACGTATGGACAAAAGTACGTTAGGGACAAAAGTACGTATCGCAGAAGTACGTACAGTATAAAGTACGTATGGACAAAAGTACGTCAGGGACAAAAGTACGTATCGCAGAAGTACGTACAGCATAAAGTACGTATGGACAAAAGTACGTCAGGGACAAAAGTACGTATAGCTAATGTACGTAGGGTAAAAAGTACGTATGGACAAAAGTACGTCAGGGACAAAAGTACGTATCGCAGAAGTACGTAGGGTATAAAGTACGTATGGACAAAAGTACGTCACGGACAAAAGTACGTATAGCTAATGTACGTAGGGTAAAAAGTACGTATGGACAAAAGTACGTCACGGACAAAAGTACGTATGGCAGAAGTACGTAGGGTATAAAGTACGTAAACGTATGGACAAAAGTACGTCACGTACAAAAGCACATATAGCAAATGTACGTAGGGTATAAAGTAGGGTAAAGACGCAAGGTAAAGACCTTGGACAAGACGCCCCAGCTAATTTATTTTGCTACCTAGGCCTACCTAAATTTTGTCCTACATCACCTGGAAGGCCAAATTTGTGCTCAATGTGTTCTTTGGAGTGAGGGCTGCGGAGTCGATGGATTTTCGGCGACTCCGACTCCGACTCCGACTCCGGCTTTCAAAAACCAGCTCCGACTCCGACTCCGACTCCGGGCAGAATTGTCGACTCCGACCGACTCCAACTCCCGACTCCAACTCCGCAGACCTAGCAGGGCTGCGGAGTCGACAGATTTTCGGTGACTCCGATTCCGACTCCGGCTCGGGTTTCTAAAATCGACTCCGACTCCGACTCCGACTCCGGTCACAACTGTCGACTCCGACCGACTCCGACTCCGACTCCGACTCCGACTCCGCAGCCCTGCAGTTTGGACATTTTACTTTAAATTCCACCCCTCAAATTCATTCACTTATGATCGGACTCCCAGCTAGGAAGTGATTTGTGAAGCAACTGCAAAGGGGCATTTTGCCCCAACCCCAGGGCAAAACGCCCCACGGCCTGAGGCAAGAAGCCCCATACTCTAGAGTCTAGCTTAAAGATTAACATGGTAGTTGGCTAAATCTTATACGAGAGGTCCGTTAGACCGCTGGAGGCACGGCACTGAAGTTAGCACCTTCCATCCTATCAGGTGTTCAGCTATGACACTATTGTATGAGCAGGTTTTTCACGTGCCTCATAAGACCAAATAATAAACTATTGCAATGCAAATCAGTTAACAATACACTTCCTTTGCCATACAGTTGCTGAGAAAAATACATATAAATGCATAGAAACTTGCTGTTTGCCAGCTACCGAGCATTAGGAAGTGGGTAGTCCGAACAACACATGAGGTAAGACGCCCCATGGGGCTTTTTGCCCCGCGACCTACTGGGGCGTTTTACCCCATCACGTAGTTCGGTTAGCGAACAACGCCTTGCGCTCCAGCAAGACATAATTTAACACGAACCAACCCGGCATTATAAGCGTTAGACAATAGTTGTTCAAAATACATAAAAGTCGTTAACCTGATGTGGACTATAAAAGAACGCGATGATACATAATTAGATAACCAAACATAAAAATCACTCAAAAAACACATTTTTGGCTATATCTCCCTAGAGAGTTATCACAATTTCTTTCCAGACTGCTCATAGGTATAATGATCATATAGTGCACGTTTAAGAGAAGAGAGGATCTTTCCCCAGAACCCTGTCAGTTCCGAGAAGCATCGGTGAGGCCGCCAGGCGTTTTACCTCGGCGGGGCGACTTGCCCCGGTCTACCCTACGTGTGGACCAAAGTACGTCACGGACAAAAGTACGTATAGCAAATGTACGTAGGGTATAAAGCAGGGTTGTGCTTGACTCATGAGTCGAGTCAGAAATTTGACTCGACTCTAACTCAAATAAGTCAGATTTGAGTCGAGTCGGATGAAATGTTCAGCTATTGAGTTGAGTCAGAGTTGAGTCGGACAAAAATATTAAGGCGTTGAGTTGAGTCAGAGTTGAGTCAGTAAAATAACTTTTGACATTGAGTTGAGTCAAACATTTAGGAACATGAGTCAGCTGACTCAACTTTCTAGAAACAAGCTTTTCATCCCCCCCCCCCGCTTAACAACTTCGCCCTGGCTCTGCTGCCGGATTTTTTTTCCACCCCCGCCCCCGCTCAACAACTTTTTTATCTGAGTCAATTTTGAGTCAACTCACTTGACTCAACAAAAAAAAAAATTGAGTCAAGTTTGAGTCGACTCATATTTTCATTGAGCCGCTTGAGTCATGAGTCGAGTCAAGGGAAAAAATCAGCTCCTTGTTTGAGTCAGAGTTGAGTCAGGGCTTTCTGAAGTTGAATGATGAGTCGAGTCGGCAATTTTTTTTTTAGTCGAGCACAACCCTATAAAGTACGTACCCCACCCATGGGGTAAGGTGATCAATGTGCAATACCTTTCTTACTCTTAATTTAATGAGCATTTGTTACAAGGCATAGCAAAATTTCTCGATGAGTAAATTGGGCGAAAGGGACAAAGCTATATTATTTGGTACCTATATGAATTTATCATGAGTTCCCTGTAGTCTGGCAACAGGGCAGCAATAAAGAAAAAGTGGCTCAACTTCCACTACTATACCCTACTTCTAGCATCCGTACTTATACACTACGTACTTTGGCATACGAACCGTACGTACTTTTGGCATACGTACTTTTTACACTACGTACTTTTGCATACGAACTTTTGCGTACGAACATTTGCGTACGTACTTTTGGCATACGTGCTTTATACACTACGTACTTTTGCAAACGTACTTTTGCGTACGAACATTTGCGTACGTACTTTTGGCATACGTACTTTATACACTACGTACTTTTGCATACGAACTTTTGCGTACGAATATTTGCGTACGTACTTTTGGCATACATACTTTTTACACTACGTACTTTTGCATACGTACTTTTGCGTACGAACATTTGCGTACGTACTTTTGGCATACGTACTTTATGCACTACGTACTTTTTCATACGTACTTTTACGTACGAGCATTTGCGTACGTACTTTTGACATACGTACTTTATGCACTACGTACTTTTGCATACGTACTTTTGCGTACGAACATTTGCGTACGTACTTTTGGCATACGAACTTTAGCGCCTACGTATATTTGCGTACGAACATTTGCATACGTACTTTTGTCCTACGTACTTTAGCGATACGTACTTTAGTCCTAAAATCCGCTCTCACACAGTAGTCGCTGCGCCGTGGCAGGGGGCGCTGGCCTCGCCGCCTGTGAAGGAGTTTGTGAGTCCAGGCAGCGTGGGTGATGGTGAGAGCCGTTCGTCTGGTGCACGCCGAGGACTATCCTCGCATGGAGAGGCATTGCATCTCTCAGCTCTTCGTGGTACTGCTCTCTTAGGCTGATGGCAAGACGGTGTCAACTCTCATTATTGTTTCTGCTTTACTCGGCAATGTAGTATCACCTTCGAAGACACTTGTGCGTTTCGAACATTTAGTGATATCTTTATTGGTGTCACGAAGGTAATTCCAGATAATTGGAATTTGTTGTCAACAACTCTCGACCAAAATGAGTTAGCGGGTCTGGACAATTGTCATTAATAAACTCAGAATGAGCTGCAGAACCGAATATTCAAATGTGAAATCGAATGCAACATGCACAACTCTTTCGTCTAGCTTCCTGACCCGGCCGATTTCGAGCTGACCATATCCTGAGTCCTAACAAATATTTGCTGCGCTTTTTAAAGACCAGCACGCTTTTTATGATCTAGACTAATAGGTGATCCTATAGACAGAAAATATTATCCTTTCAGCAAGGATCTGAATCAACAACGATAACTCCGATGGCTGGTGCTGGCTATGGGGTATTCAACGGGACCCAATCCATTTGATTTGGACTACCTGAAGATGACTTTTGTTTACGTACTGTTTTTTTTTTTTTACAGAGCTTTGTTATATTTTCGTTCGATGAACCTTTACAGGAAACGAAAAGTGCAATCGCAGCTAAGCTAAGACACCGCTCTAGCCCATCAAAGTCCAAAGTATCCCACTAACGACATGCTTTCTTATGCATGAAGGAGATTTAGGGGCACTATAAGAAGCGGCAGGTCACTCATGGAGGCTTTGTCAAGGAAAAAAAACTACTCAAAAAGTGGTGTTACGTAACCAACAATGCGTCTCAATCAGCTTACTCCGACTGCAGTGTCGATGCAGAGTGGTAAAGTAAGTGCGTATTTCTTGACGAAAGGCACTTTACTCTCGCCGCCGAGGGGGTGCCGCCCTCCCCCCCGTATGATTTTTTTTTTTCGCGATGGCTCCGAACACACCGGCAATAGAGAACTGAAATTTGGCATATCTGACCTTTGATTCAAGCCTGATCTTGTGACACCAGAACATTTTCAGGGCAGGTCAGGTCACTGACCGTCACTGGTCAGGTTGCGTCATAAGTAAACCTCTGCACAGTCCTCAGATGTCACAATTTTGCAACGCCCTTGGCAGTGCCAGAGGAACTTTCACGGGGAGATGGAACTTGCAGGACGATGTATCCTCCAGAGGTCTCACAATTTGTATATCTCGGATTATTTCTAACCCGGCACCGCCTGGGCTATTTCCGTACCCACGACAGCCTGAGGGGGGGGGGGTCGGATCCGACCCCCCCCCCTGTTATCTCGAGAACCAATGGTCGTATCGAGCCCCGCGAGGCGGCGTTCGAAAGGTCTCTACGAGACCTTCCCAAAGCACTCTTAAGATTTTAAGATTGAGGTCAACTTTCGGGTCAAGGTCAGGTCAAAGGTCAAATTCAGGGGTTTTGCATGAATCGGCTTACGGACAGCGGAATCGATAGCTGCTGCTCGAAACTCACCAAAAATGACCTCAAAGGCCTAGTGAAGGTACCATGTGCGTATAGGGGTCATACTAAGCACGGGTCAAGGTCAGGTCAGGTCACGAAAGGTCACGGTTTTCACTTTCTGCTACATGGGCGTGCGACACATGTTTCATTGGCTTATTTTTCACGCCGAATCCGATGGTAATGGTTATATGTGACCCCAAGTCACTGTGCTGGTGATAAGTGCGCATTGAAAGCATAAAAAATCGTTTATATTATACATAACTAAACGAGGGCTAAGAAAAAAGTCAATTTTTCAACTTTTTATTTTTGACATAAAAATGCACTTTTCTAGACGAACTTTGTCCCAGAAATCTAGCGGTGCCATTTGTTTTCACATGCGATGTTCAGAAGTGCCTCTAATTCACGAAAATGCTTATGACGTCACTATGCCCTATGCATGTTTGAGCTATTTCTTACAATTTGGGGGTCAAAAATCAAGATAGAAAGTTGAAATTTGGGGCATCTAATGTTCTAATAGAGCTCTACAACATTTATTCCGGTTTTTTGGAAATTCCCGAAATTTTGGATTTTATTAGCTGTTTTCAAAAAATATAGTTTTTTGAATTTTTAGGGGTGAATAACGCATATTATGGAAAATCCGAGATAGCCATTTTAAAGAACTCGTTAAGCTGCGTCTTTTCATGTCCTTAATTTGCAATTTGCTTTAAACTCTGATTTTTTGCGATTTTTTAAACATTTACCACTTTTTGACTAAAAACGCCATGTAGTTACATCACTAAAATCGATATATCTCAAAAAATTTGAATTTTTTTTCTTAAAAATTGCACAGGAGACGTCAAATTGATGGGGGAGAAGGTATGCCAAGTTTCAAGTAGATAGCGAAAGTGGTTCATGAGTTATTCAAGAAAAACGGAGGGGGGGGGGGGGGTCGGATCCGACCCCCCCAGGCGGTCGCGGGCTAAAGGTCACATGCAGTCAGGTCGGTCACGTGACATGACCATTATAAGTCAACGGGGAAAATGAAAACTGCTATTTTGGCGATGGGAACGATCTCAAACTACCTCAAGCACACGGAAGCCTGAATGCACTCCTTGCAAGGTTAGATGCTTCACGTTTGAATATGACGTCATTGATGATGTCACTAAGGTCATAAGAGTTTTCTTCAATAACTCCCGATCAAATTGAGCTAGCGAGTCGGGAAGGCCACTAATGGACTCAGGAAGACCTGCCGAATCGCATGATATGCGATATGACCTCCTTCGACCAACTTTGCGACCTGGGGGCTCTGACCTGACCATGACCCGAGGTCAACACTTTAAGTTGACCTAACCAGAACAAAAAGTATACCATTCGACGCGCCTCAGCGAGGCGAACACGCTGATGCCAAAATGGCGGCTCTGCGGCCGTTTTTGCGAAGTTATTTATCAAAACCGAACCCGTACCTTGGGCCCCTTGACCTGACCTCAGAGGTCATGGTTGATCTGAGACCTTAAAGTCAGGTACCAATCGCTGAGTCTCGCAACGGCGCACACGCCCGTTTTTTTCCGCGAGGCTCTAGCTCCATCAGGGGTGAGACGGCGAGAGGGGTCGTATGTACCCCTCTCCCTCTCCTCGGCCGGCGCATGTGTAGAAAACCAATAGGTTCGGCGAGGGTTCATGCTTTCCTAAAATGAATGATGCGCAAGACCCAATTTAGGTTGTCATTAAAGGCGGCTCAATAAGTTTTTGTGTTAGCAGGATAGGAGGCATAACAAGCAAGTTCTTTTGGTCAACTCCAATATGTTTCCCATTAGGAACTGATTATGAGGCGGTGATTACTAGTTCCGTGAAGTCGGTCCGGTCGGCAGACATAACGTAACCACTGCTCAGAAGCGCATTACAGATAAGACATTCAAGACTATATTTTGATCATTACGTAAAACAGAGTTAACAAGCACTTTACGACACACAAGTATTGTGACTAGTTGTACACGGGCCGGTAGGCATAGATAGGAATCAGCTCCTCCTGCTCCTGCTCCTCCTCCTGCTCCTGCTCCTGCTCCTCCTCCTGCTCGTAGGAGTCCTGCTCGGGGTACTGGGCCTCGCCCTCGTAGCTGACCTCGGCCGTGTAGCCGGTCTCGTCGCCGGCCGAGTAGCGGACCGTCTGCACACGGCCGTCGGGCAGGTTGACGGCGTACTCGCCCTCCACGTCACCCTCCTCGTCGCCCTGCTCGCTCTGAGAGAACACGGTGTCGTCGTCCTCGACGGCGTAGCTGAACTCGTAGGGTGTGTGTTCGACGTCCTGGTGCTCCTGCTCGTCTCCGTACTGGCCCAGATCGCTGGCCGAAGCCGCCGCCACCAGGGCAAACAGGACAAACAGAACCTGAGAAAACGGACAACAGATTTCGATATGTGACTGTGCTGTATACATTATCGTACAAGGGGTTTGTGAATATGTGGTCATGCAAGGAAATAATTAAACTCACACTGTTATAAGTTTCACATTGCAAGAAATCAAGCGATCATTGCGCATGGAAAAAAGTTAGGAACAGTTGTAAGCTGTGATCACTTTGCTCCCTACTCCCTAATTTACCTTATCCATATTTAGTTTAAACCAGAAATCCAATGCTAGCAAATATAATTTACAAGATCCAATCATTTTTGTCATACCTTCATGATTATATCTGGATAGCTGATGCCGGACCGTTTGTAAAAGGCGTACTACTCGAGCTGTGCCTCCAAGAGAACTGATGCCCTGAATTCCATCTCGAATGTCTTTATATCTGGCTACTGCCTTGGACTCTGGTGTAGTAGTGTTCACACATTACGTCTCAAACTGGTTTGTGACACGGGACTTTGCGTAACGCGCCTCCATTTGACCTTATCTCTGTGTCTGCCCGACTGGACAGTGGACAGGTGTCACCGTGTTGTCGCGCCCTCCGGAGAGGCGGGTCATAATGTGCTCCTGACCTGCCCCGACGTTTGCCGGAACCTCAACGATCATTTCAAGGTGGTCAAAGCACCATATCATCGCTGCCCTCAGTGTATGCGCTTTAGCCGCCCTTGGAAACGTCAACGTTTTATGTATGTGCCCAGCCAATAACAGAAGAGAGCCCGTTTTCCCACACTATTTATGAATGCCAAGCGCATGTTGTAAGTATGTACATCCATGTATCTTTGTAATGCGCGCAAATGTGCCGTGCTTTTTTGTCACGGCAAGGAAGTAGGTAACGTCCCCACTGGCAGCACGGCAATAAACACTTTTCAACGACGACAAAAACAATAAGTATGTGCCGTTTTATCGAGGTTAGTCACTAAAACGCAGGCCCTACCACTTTAATTGCCTCAGCTCAGTATTGTTGGTGAGGAGCGAACCCAGGCTGTTACGCAATGCGTAACGCATGTCTGCTCTCAGAGGCCAAGCGCCGATCACGTGTACGGGGGAGGGGTAGAGGTGGGAGGGGAGAGGTGGGAGGGGAGGACGCGGCACCAGCTGGACTGGCGGGACGACCACGGTCACGCAGATAGCATTTCTGTGTGACCTGTCACGCCCGGCGCCGGAGCGAATATTGCCTCACCGGGCGACCTGTGTTTGTCTTTCGTCACCTGCGGTTGACATTGGAGGTAGGTCGCATACCAGGAGCAAAAAATGTGATTAGGATAATAAAACAATGTTAACAGAAAGCATGTTTTATGAACGTGAGTATACGTTTATGTCACACTTCAATTTTCCGCCCGTCAGTCGATGCTGAGAATTTCAGTGAGTCCAACCCACGCCTACGAAACCCTACTCGTTTCCTTGGAGGATGAACTGGGGCTTCAGCTCTCAGTGAGCGGCTTCTTTAGATGTTTTCCAATGGTTATTGACCTAGGTAGAAGCGATCAGGATAGGCTGCAAATAAACATGTCAGGTACGGATGGCCGAGGTGATGGCTTTTCTGAAAATAAGCCGTCGGACATTCAGAGCGAGATGCAGATAGGAGGACGTTCACATCGTTTGATTGACGGCTCTAAAGAATATCTACAATTTCGACTTTGAACTGCAATCCAAATGTGAGCCCTAATGCAATACCCTAATGAAATAATCACTGTTGTCTATCTAAATACAATGATTCGCATCTCAACTGAAATGGGCTGCTGTAAAGCCAAATGCCATGTCTGCTGAGCTCTGGGCCCACCTGACGTTGATCAGGGTGCGCGGCCAAAGAAATGCACCAAAGCATAAATATCCGTAAAACATCTTTCGTGGTATTCAGCAGTACAATGTTATATGCATGTTTTGATTATATCAACCTATACAAAGGATAGGTAGCTACAGGTACTCACCCGGGCTTACACGAAAATGGCTTGCACATTTGGATGCATGGGGTGAATTGAGAACATTCAGGGTTACGAGTGCTATTTGCCCAACGTTTAGTCCTTCTTATCTTGACCAATAGCTAGTTGTCATGACCAAATGAGTATCAAGCATCATGAAAAAAGACAGATGCATGCAGATTGAAGGTGTAAGAAGGTGTGGCACATGACAGGCGAAATCACTGATTTAGCCTTGAGCCTGGTAATCAGGAGCGAGCACTGAAGTTCGACACACCGCAGAGGAAAGGTGGCCCACGAAGAGGATATAGTCGTCATGCGATCTAAAGGAAGTTTATTGTAGTCGTATAGAGTTGTGGAGATCGGTATCGATGTAAAAATGGCGCCAACAAAACCCCGGCATACCAGATATATAAAGCACACTACTCTGAGCCAGTGTGAGGAAAACCTGGCGGTGCTGCCTCATCGTACCATTAAAGCTGTAAAACAATACTGTACCGCGTGTAACAAACTATCGATCGGCAAGGGTAACGCAGTGCCGTCACTGATAACAAACTATAATAGTGTATCATAATTTATACAAAAATACAAATTGCAAAGTGCAACTGGTCATTGATAGCTTGAAACGACGTAAGCACAATGCGCACCAGCATAGCCTCAGATTTCATAGGTATTATTGCTTTGCCACCAGGATTTTATGAAAAAAAACATAATTTAATTATAGCTCAAGGAAAGAATGGTATTTTCCCTTGCAGGACGAGACGAATGGAAAAAGAATGCGCAAATGTTTATTTGCGTTTTTGTTTGTAAGGCAAATCTGACTGACAGCAAACCTGTTTTTTTCGAATAGACGATATTTTTAATTAAGCACAGAAGACGGATGGTTATGCATTTTAAAACATCATCTTATCCGACCTCATATCGATTTCGAAGTGAATCAGTAATAGGCCCGTCTCCCATCGCTCATCTCCGTGAAAATGTAGCAGAACTGCAGTTAAAGACATCACCTCTGATCAAAACCAACACGATATTCGTGGTCAGCACCCCGGAAAACCACATAGCAGCCACACTTACAGGTCCCGATTTTCCCGGTTTTCGGGTCATTGACCTGACCTGGAAGGTCACCCGATGACCTAGGACCTTAAAATTGGGTATCATCGGCTTCCTCTTGTGACGGGCAGCACGCTCGTTTTTTCCGCGAAGCTCTAGCTCGATCAGGGGCCAAACGCGTGGGGGTCGTACCAACCCCCCCCCCCCTTGTGCCGTCGAAGGACGCGAAATGGCCTGTGCCGGCGAGGGTTAAAAGCAAAATCGTAGGCTCCGTGGCATTTGTGTGCTAGCTTCATAAGCAAAAACATTTGAGAGCTTATTACCATGTCTAAGAAACTATTGGCGGCAGCATTGCATGCAAATGCACCGTTTTCCTGACACACAGCCCAACACTTGTCATGGTACCGACAAAATACACGTGGGCATCAATGTAGTTTTGGGCATCAAAGATCTACAGAATGCACATCAAAAGATAAGAAGCATTCATATGACCGCAAACCTTCACCATTCTTTGGAAGCTACCATGTTGTGGTAAGTGTTGTTTTAGCAGATGCATGCAATCGATCACATCACATTGAACCAATATACTTTTAGATACAAATAATAATTTTTTTCAGCACGGTATATCCGTCAAATATTCGACCACGCATGGTATCATACACCACTCTCTTAGTTCCTCCAGAAGGTCGTGGACTGGAGTGATGTTTCAAAAGACCGCAGTCATTCCCCCCCCCCCCCCATCACACACGGTAGTGTTGCAGAACATTTCTGTCGTTTCCCCGAAGGGAATCAAGCTCCTGGAGCCATGCCGTAGCACCAACCTGTAACTTCATGAAGGCGCAAGGAGCAACAAATCAGAAACAAAACAAATGATCTTGAAACGAATGAGATAATAAAGACAATTCATTTCGCTGTCTGTCGAAGTCGTGTCATTCCACCGGATACGACCGTCTTATTGTGTTAAATGCTGCTGATCCAGCGAGTTCGAAGACTCGAAATGAGGAAATTATTCGCCATGACGCAGATTTTGCGTCGTTGACACATTTTTGGTGACTGGTGATGCAAGCACGGAAACGGTCAATGCACGGAAATGTGGTCAGAAGTCAGCTACAAGCTATGCACCGCGTATCATAAAAATGGTGTCGCTCACATCGAATCATGACCCCAACGTGGGGTACGGCCTTACTGTGAGAACGACTCTTCGCAGGGTTCATGAAGTTTTATGCTCGGCTCTCTGCGAAGAAGCAAGGCGCTGTCAACACGAGAAGAATCACTTGAATATGTCTTGTAGGAAAATGAGAAAAGCCTATTGAAATAAAAAGAAAAACGTTCTGGAATGACATAGGTAATGTAAAAATGTGGACTGCAATATGCATGACAGTACATACACGGCAATGCATCAAAGAAGTCAACCCACCTTAGCGACAGATTAAAAAATGAAAACACCAGCATTTTTGTGAAGTCGCGCAGCTTTGTTGGAGGAGTTAACCCTCAATCCTTTTCTCACCCTCTTGTTGTCTGAGCCGCCGATCTGCGCTGCACCCCTGCCGCGCCCGCCGCCCCGCCCGGCCCGGCGCCGGCGTCAGACGTGCACCGCCCAAGGACCTCTGCGGGGTCACCTGGTACCGGCCCCCCTATAAGATGGCCCGAGGTCAGCGCGTCAGCTAGTTGGCTGTTAGCATCTGTCACAGCATCAGCCTCCAAGATGAAGGTGAGACCGACACTCTGTGGCCAATCTGCTCGTCTAAATGCCGCTCCGAACTCGTGAATAACTTTTGATTCAGCACAAATGTAAGCTCTTCTGCGGCAGGTAAACATGAAGTCTATTCTAGAGATTATGGTGGTATCTGTGCCCCTTTTTTGAAATGTCAGATATGTAAATGCGTTCTTTGTATACCCAGCAATTGCAGCGCAGAAATTATATATAGTGCATACCTTTGGGCATACCGGGTTGAAGCTGGATTCTGCTCTTGTTTTATATAAATCATATACCGAGTAGCACTTGATCTGTTACAACATTTACTATGCTTGATATGATGTAATGCCTACTGAGCTCTAATCGGAAATAATTCTGTAGCTCTTAAAGTACTATGCTATTAGGTTGTCACTTGTTAATTAGTTAGTCACGATGACTTTGAATTCGAGGGCAACTCATAGCAGCTTTCACACCAAACTATAGAGATGTCAATCGGATACTACCTTTTTGGTATACCGATACCAAACCGATACCAGCTTGGTTTAATGTTTTTAGTTAGTTTTTTTTTTATGAACCCTAACTAATATATAAGAGGAGGAGAAATCGGTAAAAAGTTTTGTATTTCCCTAAGTTCCCAAAATGG